GGCTCCTCCCGGGCCAGCGCCCCGCGCCCCGATGCCCCAGCATGGACGGGCAGTGCAGAGGCCAGGCCAACCCCAGGGAGGATGCCTGTGAGAAGCTCTGAGGGCCCAGGCTGGCTGTGCTCTGCCCCCCTGCCAGAGGCAGGAAGTGCAGATGGGTGCAGCTAGCTTCAGACTCGGGGGGGCGGCTACCCTTGGCAGCAGCCCTGTGGGGAGGGGACCCATGGGCTGGCCTCGCTCCTGTCCATGGGGCGTTCCTCCGACACAGGGGGGTGTGGGCTGGAGGGCCCAGGGCTCAGGACTTGGTCCTGATGCAGGAAGGAGGGGTCAGAGGGGGCGGGGGCTCCCTGGGCTCCAGGGCACTGCAGGGGTCCGGGCCCAAGGCAGTATGCTCTGGGGGCAGGGCAGGGCAGGGCAAGCCAACCACTTGCCAGGCTTCAGGGGGCTGCAGTGTGACGGGGACCCTGAGTGGGAGGAGGGGGGCAGGGCTCACTTCGGGGAGGCTCAGGGATGGCCTCGTGGTCAGATGGTGGCAGAGAGCAGCCAGGGGTGGGGGCAGGTCCCACCGGCCTGGTCACAGAGATCTGGGATCCTCCTGCCCCAGTACCAGGCACTCTTCAATTCACATGGTTTTCAACAAAGATTTTTTTTATCTCCCCCCAAAACCAACCCAAGGGAGGGGCATAGGATGGGAAACAGGACACAGGACCTGATCTCCAAGGAGACTGTCCATGCCACTCAGAGTGGACACTCATCTGCCCACCCACAGCTGTGCTCAGAACAGCTGTCCCCACCCGTGGACATGGTAAACATCTGCCTGGCCCCACGGGCATGGGCAGTGAGTGGCAGGGCTTGCCTCCCACAGCGTGTGCCTGGCCACTCTCGCCTCCTGGGGCCTCCTCCCACTCCTCCTCCTCTCCATGGAACTGCCTGTCTGGGTTAATTTGGGGATTTTTTTCTGGGGGATAGTTCTTTTGCATGACCCCTACAAGCAAGCCACACCCGCTGTCCCAGCTTGATGTCCATGGTGTGGCCTCGCTGGCCCGCCCTGCAAGGGTCGGCGGCCGCGGTGCTGGCCGGCTTCCCTCCTCTCTTTTTGCTGAGTTTTGTTGTCTTTTCTTTCTGAGCCTTGTAAGTGTACAAAAAATTATTTTGTTCTGTCTCGGGAAACTGCAAATAAAAGGCAAACAGGACAAACTGCTTCATGTGCAGCTCGGTGCTTTCTGCTCGGACCCCACCACCCCTCACCCAGCCCCTTCCGTGGGGCCCCAGCTGGGCCTGGCTGTAGAGGCTGAGTGCAGACCTTCCTGAGCCTGTCAGGGTGGACGACCCGCCTGGGGTCCCTCTGTGCAGCCGCAAGTCACAGATTCAATACCTGACCCCCCACACGCACCCCCAACCTCTCTAGTCACCCCAGTGGTGTCTGGGGTGGGAGGAGCTGCAGGGCTGGGCTGCACCGACCTACCGAGTCATTCCCTCCATCAGCCACCCCGCCTGCGTGGTTTGCTGACCCCCGGCCACAGGGGCTGGGGCATGTGGTGTCCATGGCCACCTGCCTGCTCACAGGAGCCCACACCCTGGGTTGTGCAGACAGCACACAGGCCTGCACAGTTCAGACACCCACGTCACCCATGCACAGCGGTGGCTGCTGGGAGGCAAAGATGAAACAGCAGGCGAGGAGAGCAGGGACCAGCAGGCTTCTCCAGGTCCACATGGCCAGAGCCGCCAGCAGGATCGGGGGACAGGGCTGCCAGGTGCTGAGCCTAAGGTGCCCAGACAGAGGGCGGGAGGAAGGACTGGGGTGGCAGGGCTCTGCGCTTCCCAGCAGGCTCCCTCCGCAGCGGCCCCAGCATGACACCCCCAGGCCTTTCCTGTGCTTGGGCTCTGCCCACCCTCTGTGCCCGGACCTGACCCTCAGGGGGAGGATGTCACCCAGTGCATCCTTGCAGCCAGGACACGAAGCCTGTTGGGCCTCCCTCGGGAATGACCACCCCGGCCTCTGAGGCTGTTAGCACTGACCACATGGCTGCTGACCTGACTGACCACCGGTGCCTAAGGCCATCAGAGCACGTGGCCCGCCCTCAGGCCCAGCTGCAGGCCTTTCCCCTCCTCCCTCCCAGATGCCCTCACGTGGAGGCAGTGGCCTCCCTCACCCCCGACCCCAGGCCCTGCTGCTGCCTGTCTGTACCTGTGCCACGTGCTTTCCTGGGACAGAAACGGGGGCTTCAAAACCACCCTAGACCTCAGTGCCCCGTGAGCCCGAGACTGAGAATGCAGGGACCCCAGGGACCACCTTGGCCACCTCCTCCTGCTCCGCCCGGGGCAGACACTTTGCCAGGCCCAGGCCAGGAGGCCCTTGGCATCAGTGTCTCGGTGCCGTGGGCTCCCCTGGCAGCACGCAGGGACCTGAGAGGGTGGAGAATGTAGGACAGAGCCAGAGCGGTGTCGGGCGGTGTCTCCTAGACCCAGGCCTATCAGCTGTAATCAGAGAAGCCTCCTGCCCGGCCCCCCGGTTCCTGTGCCTGAGGTGGACATCGCATCCCAGCGCGCCGGCAGGCCTGTGGGCAGGGCGGGCACCACGGCAGAGGGAGGTCAGGAGGCCCCCACTGTCGCTTCTAAACAGCGCCTGCTTTGGGCAGAGCTCCCCGGGCCTCCATAGGAAGGGCTGCTGTGGGTTTGGACGGTCACGCTGGGTGAGCTGAGCGCAGGGTCCTGGGCCAGGACGGGCCAGGCTGCCAAGTCTCCACGGACCAGCTGCTGGGACCACTCCCTGAACTGGGCTCCCCAACCCACAAGGATGTTCGCACACCTGCAGGGTCTGCTCTGCTTGCTCCCTCGCCTGGCTCCTGCCTGTGCCTGGGACTAAGGCAGATGCCGCCTCTCTGCCCCCACCCCCGCTCGCACACCTGGCTCCCATCCCTGGCCCCGCCCTCCCCCTGCACAGCAGAGAACAGAGGGTGCACTGCAGAGTGGGCACACTGAGGAAGGGTCTCCCCCCTCCCCCCCAAGGCTCAAACAAAGCACAGGACCATTTTGGGAATTTCAAAAGACAACTTTATCCAGATAGGAACCTCTCCAACAACACAAGAAAAGTTAGGCAACAATTATTAAAATACACTCTTAGCCGGATGACATGAACAGGGAGCACATGGGCACAGGACCTCCGCCAGCCACCCTCCCTCTTCCAAATCCACCCTCGCCCAGGTCCTCCCCATCATCCATGACCCAACTGTCCCAAGTGGAGTCACAGCCACCTCAGGCGCCACGAACAGGATGGGCCTGCACCCTAAGGCGGGGTCCAGCAGGAGTCACACGGGCAGGGAGCATCCTTAGGGAGGCCAGCAGTGCCAGGGAAAAAGGCAGCCGGCAGGTGAACCTGTTGGGGCAGGTGCTCAGAAGCCACACAGATCCCATTCTCTGGCCCAAGCGAGATTTGGGGCTGCTGGCACTTCCTGCTGGGTGAGTGGGACCTTCGGCTGGGCAAGAACCAGCACACTCAAAGAAGGACCCCTGGGTGAGACCACACTGGTTGACGCCACCCCAGCAAGGGCACCTTGTCCGCAGGTGGCACGCAGAGCAAGGAGGCAGTGTGGACAGGGCAGCATGACCCAGGACCAGGCAGGCCAAGGGGCCGGGACCTACTGGGTCATCGCCTGGGCTGCTGTGGCCTGGTTTCCTGCTGCTGAGGGTCAAGAAGGATGGAGGGAGGGGGGACTGAGTCAGCAGGGATGGGGGGCTGCCACACTCAGACAAGTGGGGTGCTGGGTCCTTGGTTGGCTGGCACCTACTCTTGATGCCCAGTAATAGTGGCCACGGGAAGGCCACTTGCTAAGACACGCAGGCCCAGGTGGTTGCCAAAACAGTTTTGCTGCCAGAGGCACCTGCCTGGGATCCAGGTTCAAGGCCAATTGCAGGTCAGGCAGGTGCCCCGCCCCCTCCAACACCTCCAAGGCGTCAGGGGAAGTCAGTCTCAGCAGAAATGCAAACTGTGTCTCAGAACTTGTGAATCCCAGGGGCTGTCTCCTCATGACCCTGCTTGCCCCACCCCCGTGACCCTGGCGGCTTTCCCAGGAGAACCCAGTGTGTGCTCTGTCGCCCCTCGCCCTGTGGATTGAGAACCCCCTCACTGAAGCGTTAACACAGTTGATGTACAGGTTAGACAAGAGCCCTTCGGCATCTTCAGGAGTCATGGAGTGTTTACGGTTTCATTTGGCCCCAAAATACCTCTGAGGACCTCAAATTATCTTTTCAAAAATGACCAGAAACATGAATTTGAACATTCCCCACCCCAGGTCCCTTCCGCTGCCTCGGCGCCTCCAGGAGCTCCAGTGAACGGTGACCGTGCTCTGGTCTTGCTGTGGCCGAGGCATCTCCTGAGGCCGCGGTTCTGATGGAATGACGGGGATGCAGCAAGGGGGCCTCTGCAGACTACGGTCACATGACTGCACAGCACGAGTTTTGCTTCCGGGCCTAGAAAGAGACAGAGGAGCAGAAGAGGGGCTGAGGAGGTGGCCTGGGCACACAGACGGAGCCCTGAGCACTGAGGGGAAAGGACTGGTGATGCCCACCCTGGCCGCCTCCCGGCAGCTGGACAGGTCACAGACAACCATGTCCTCCTCGCCCACCCTGCCACCGGGAAGGCGCCCGACACAAAAATGGGCATGGGCTCTGGCTGGCTGAGGACCCCCTGCCCACCCTCTACCCAACAAGGCTGGCAGCTCTGGTGTTTCTCCAGACAACAGAGTGGCTCCCACTTAGATCCTGGGCCCCTGTGACCTCCTCTCTTGCTTCCTGTTCAGATACCCCAACCCCCGAGCCAGCTCCCCTCAAGGGACACACGAAAGCAACAGCGTGTGGAGAACAAGCTAACTCGCCCCACTGCTCAGTGAGATTCTGTGCAAGGAACCTGCGAACAGGCAGCGTCAGAATCTGGGGATGCTGCACCCCACCACTCAGCCAACAGCAGACAAGGGTGAGCCTAGGCTCAGAGCCTGAACCCGCCTGCACCCCCTGCAGGGCAGCCCGAAGACGGGGACAGGCCCCGGCTCGCTCACTGCCACAGCACCAAAGCAACAAGGGCGTGCTGCTCCTGCTCGCGGCAAGGGGCCTGGGACCGCCAGGTACCCACTGTTTTGTAGAAGGCTTTAGAGTGAATTCCCAGCACTTCGGATTTGGACACCAGGTCGTCTATCTTCTCGCCTCGTTCTAACAGGGACTCCATGGTGTTGTGCTGCAGGAAGGAACAGAAGTGAGGCTCTGCCCGTTCACCACGAGTGGCTACAGCCCTCATCCAGCCCATCAGGGCAAGCACGTCCCCTGAGCCCTCCCCGACACGAGCACCAGCATATGTCCGATGTGGGCATGCACCAGGACCCGTGACCTTCCTGTGGAACCTAGAAGGGTCTGCTAGCGCAGAGAGCGTGTCCCAGTCCTGCACGACACAGGCATGGACAGCCAAGCAGGCAGAGGTGGCCAGTGCATCTACATGGGCTCCCACCGGACAGGGCACGTCCCGATTCCCTCGAGGGGCCTGTAAGTTCACAGACCCTCTCCAAGGGGGGAAAGAGCCACAGTCCCACTGCCTGCTCACATCC